CCTACGTCGTCCTGAGACCGCAGGAGAGCTAATGCAATTTTTGCAGGCTGTCAACTGGCTGCGCACTTCTCTGCCTCGGATGTCGGAGATAGTGGCACCTTTGCGGGAGTTCCTGGAGCTTCACATGGCCGGAAACCCGAATAGAACCAAGCGTGTGGCATCAAACCGAGCGATCGCTCCTGACGCGTGGACACCCGCGATGGTGGAGTCGTGGGAGCGAGCGCAGGACATGGTCGCCAATGCGGTCACATTGTATCATCCGGTGGCAGGGAAAGCGGTTTTGATGTTCCCTGATGCTTCCGACGAACATTGGGGAAGCTTCGTGACTCAGGTGCCACAATCGGAGGTGGACAACAACGTTCCCGTGGAAGACATGAGCCACGAACCGTTGGGTTTCCTGAGTGGTACATTTCGTGGGTCTCAACTGCGGTGGGCTACCGTAGACAAGGAAGGATTCGCAATCATCAGCACGTTCCGGAGGTTGGAATATTTGCTGTGGGGTGGTGTGCATATTCACACCGATCATCGTAACTTGGCATACATATTCGACCCGGAAGCGTGCATCTCAACGGTGCCGAAGACCACGGCGCAGCGTCTAGAGAATTGGAAGGCGGTCCTTGGCCAGTACGACTACACGATTCAGCACATCTCAGGTGAACGCAACTGCTGGGGGGATTTGTTGTCGCGTTGGGTGAATGTACCCGCCGTGAGTAATCGATCCGCGGCGGTCTTCATGCCGAGTACGCCCGACTGTAACCTACCCTCCAAGAACGCTATACGCGAAGTTCAACAGACAGTGCGCGCATCTGTCGGGGATACCAATGCGTGTTTCACGGATACACTCGGTCGTGTTGCACCGGACGATGAAGGTTTATTCCGTGTCATGATTGACGGTCGCAAAGTTCTGTGGATTCCCGATACCGCGCGTGATATGCAGCTACGACTCATGTTGTGTGCGCACATGAAAGAAGCCGGCCACCGCGGTGTTACAGCAACGATGCACCGCTTGCGGGAATACTGCTGCTGGTCTACAATGGACCGCGATGTGAAGGAGTTCGTGCAACAATGCCTGCATTGTATGGATTCTAAATCTGGTGAGATAGTGCCGCGTCCTTTTGGAGAGACGGTTCATGGCAAGCGACCTGGAGAAGTATTACACTTCGACTACCTTCATGTAGGCAAGAGCGGACCGCTCGGCGCGGATGGGCTGGACGAATCTGATGGATATGTATATTTGTTGGTGATGATGGACGATCTTAGCAACTTCGCGTGGATGGAGCCGACTGGTACGTGCACGGCGCGGTTAACGGCGCAACACCTCCTGAATTGGTGTAAAACGCTGGGTGTGCCTGAAGTTTGGGTAAGCGACACCGCCACTCATTTCAAAAACAGCGTAATGGACACCTTGGAGAAAGCGTTGGGTGTTGAGCGACGCTTTACCGTGGCTAACTCGCCCTGGTCGAATGGAACGTGCGAACGTATGATGCGCGAGATAGTACGCACGATGAAAGCCGTTTTGCAGGAACGACGGCGAAATGTGCGGGACTGGGTGGATCTGGTGCCGGCAGTTCAATGGGCGCTAAACACCGCGTATCGTGAGCGGTATGCATCAACACCTTATCATGTCATGTTCGGCCGCGCTCCTCGCACGAGTTTTTCCACCCTGGCGTCGTCGTCTGGGGAAGCCTGGAACATCGACACGCTTGATGCGACCAAGTTGAAACAACAAGTCCAAAATGTGATCCAGACTCAAGCGGTTCTGCACAAACAAGTTCAACAGAAGGTGGATCACAATCGTGCCAGGCAACGTGCGCAGCAAGTCGCGGTGATTTACCAGCATTTACGGTGGGAGACTATGTGATGGTGGCACGTGTCCGTCGCAGCGGAATCACGCCCAAATTGTCCTCTACTTGGACTGGTCCTTGGCGCGTGGTATCGGCCGCTAAAAAGCACGTTTACGGTGTTCAGAACATCGTTAATGGGCAGGTCCGCGATGTCCATGTGGCTCGTCTGCGGTTCTACGCCGATTCGGAACTGAACGTCACATCCGATCTCAAAGACGTGTTCCAACACTCTTTCGGGCAAGGCGAACATGAAATGGAATCTATTCTCAACATTGGACCAGCTCATGATGGATCGGGATATCTTGTTCGTGTGCGGTGGGCTGGGTTCGAGGAGGACGAAGACACTTGGCAACCACTTTCGGATATTTACCAGGATGTGCCGCAGTTTTTGAAGCAAGAGTTGCGCAAGATGAAGCTATCTAAGGAAGTCAAGGACAACATAAAAAAGGAATATGGTATCGTTTTTTAACGGCCAAATGAGTTGAAGTTGCGTGGAAAAGGGCGAGGAAATCTTACTACCGCAAGATAGCATTGTTCATTTATATGTTTGTCTTGGTTTTTGTAGTTGTTTCTGAAGACGCTATCACACAGTATAATGATGAAATAATTAGTAACACGAAATCAGGCGAATATGGTGTTTAGTGTAAACAAACGCGTGAGGATTGAATAAAATTTTAGCGTGTGATTATTATGTGGTTTCGCATCATTTAGTATGTGCCTACCATTGTTTTGTCAAGCACATAGTGTCTACGATTGGAATGTAGTATGCGCTTTGGGGGCATTGTGGACATTGGCCGTGGTAGTCACAGTGTAGGAAGGTTCTACGGAGATCTTGGGGACTCCGTGTGTGAAGATATCACAGGGGCCATACCCTGTGTGTGAGGATTGTGTGGACTCTCCGTCTTGTGTTCCACTCCTCCTATCTTGTGATCGATGATATAATACAAGTGAAGAAACAAACATCACCAGCCCCTTGGGGGGAAGGAGTCCTGGTGGCTCGAGGACAACTCCAACTGTCCATAGCACCTGTCTCATGTCTTCATTTTATTTTCCTTATTTCCCAAGTGTTGTTGTTGTTGTTTTGTTGTTGTTGTTCTCACATTAGCTCTTCTAGCTATAGTCCACAAAAAATGGGGAGCCCGTGGTCTCAAAACCCGGCACATACAACGCCGCGGGGAAACAAAACAAAAAATGGGGTACAAACCACTCGGAACAAGAAAAAAACATGATAGAAAGAAAATAATAGGTATCGCACCGAATGTTCGAGAAAAGAGCCCTCGGAAACAGATCAAAACAAAACAAAAACAAACAAAACGTAGGACGCTTCCCATACCCGCCCAAAGAAAAAATCAAAGGGTAACGTACCAGCACCAGGCACTAAGCACCAGGGCATGGGAGTAACAGAGCATACAGGACAAAGAGGCGCCAGATGGGCAGACAGCCAGACGTACAACAACAAAGGCAACAGCAAACAACCCAGATCAAGTTACCCAACACAGCAGAGTAGGCAGGGAGGAAATGAAAAATAGAAACACAGCACAGAGGCCGAAGGCAATACTAGAGTTGGAGGTGGAATAGTTTTTTGTGGTGGTTGCACAAAAGTACCTGCAGTAGGCTCGTGCGTCTGTTCATTATGTTCATTGGCTGGCTCGTGTGATTTTCTCAGAAGAACGGGGGGCGGTCCATCATCACCAGCTAGAGAGGGGGGTGGTATCCACCATCATTCGCTAGAGGGGGGGGTGGTATCCATCATCAGCTAGCGAGGGGGGTGGTATCCATCGTCAGCCGTGAG